TGAACGTTTACGATCAACAGAAATGCCGCGCCTCGCACTGGCAAGTGGAGTCTTCTCACATCTGCACGTATACGAGAGCAGGCGAAGGCGCGTGCTATGTAAGCTTTTTCACTTACTTACTTAAATAAAAAAAATTGGTCGTGTGAATGCTTCGGATTGTGCAATAATTAATGTGGTGTTGTTATAAAATTTTTTTAGGGTGATTCCGGTAGTGCTCTTCTCTCTGGCGGTGTTCAAATCGGTATTGTTTCCTTCGGCAGGCCGTGCGCTCGCGGTGTGCCCGACGTATTCACCAGAGTATCCTCGTTTGCGAATTGGCTGGAGAAAAATGTTGTTTCGTAACAAAGTAAACTGAGATCTTTTGTAGGTACAGTTATTCTCGACCAGATTATTGTTATTCTCAGTGAGTAAAAAAGTGTTTAATAAATATTGCCATAAAACTACCAAAGATACATTGATGTGTTTACATTTCATTGTGCTGCAATAAGTCGCTATATAAAGTAATCTACCAATCGCGTCACGTACTCGAGATAAAAGTTTTTTATTGTAGACATTTACTTGATAAAAGACCCAGGTAAAAAAGGCTAGTCATTTTGGTCGACACCACAAATTCTTTTATATTGTCGCGTAGAGATTTCAACGCGATTACATCTATCAGGGATTAGAATAATTAAATCACTTAATTTGTGTTTATGTAATACACACACGTTTCAACGAACGTTCTTCAAGTGCTTCAAAGCGGTATATAAACTCTACGAGAAAGCTTTGTTATTAATCAGTATCACGATCTCATCATGTTGGCGTTGTTTGTACTCGTTAGCTTGGCAGCAGCTGCTCATGGTAAGCAACACACACAGTCAATATTTGATTATGTGAAAAATGTTGTTGGAAAAGGAGTTTTTTTTTTTTTTTTATTCTGCTCTTGAAAGAGAGAAAGAACTTTTATTTCAATCTTTTTAAAGGAAAGAAAGAAAAAGAAATACGAATAATAATAAAGTTTTGAAAGAAGTGAAAATAGATTTTTGAAATAATAAAAACATTTTAGATATCAACAACTAGTATTGATTAGTGTCGAATTTGATTTTAAAACTATATTTAATTTTTTACGAACGTATCAATTACCTTTAGAACGATTTATAAAAAACCTTCAAACAATGTGTCATCGATTACTGATTTTCTTACGCGCATAGGCTTTCCGAATTCTTATATTATCGGTGGAAAAGACGCTCCAGTGGGCGCGTATCCGCATCTGGTATCTCTGAGAAAGAATGGATCTCACTCCTGCGGCGGATCTATCATCTCTACACGCACCGTTCTCTCTGCAGCCCATTGTGTTATTTCGTACGTATTTCGCTCGTTAATTATCTATTGTCAAATAAATATTGAAGTAAAAGATATTCGAAATTGTTTAAATTTCGAGCACTGTGAAAAGTAATTAACAAAAATATGTCACAGTTATTACGTCTACAATCGTACGTTTTAATATCACAGTTACGTCAAAGATCCCCGTGTTCTGGAAATTCTGACTATTCACGCCGGCACGAATCTGTTGAGCGAAGAAGGAACTGTTTACAAAGCAATCAAGGCCATCCATCACGAAAATTACAATATGTATAAATTACTCAACGACATTGGTGTGCTCATTCTGTCGAGACCTGTTGAATTCACTCCCACGATTCAACCCATTCGACTCGCGACCAACGACATCGTCGCAGGCTCTCCTTGCGTTCTAAGCGGTTGGGGAAGAACCGCAGTGAGTAAAAACTAAAATAGAAATTATTACGCAATTAAAAAACAAAAAAAACTTGAACTTTTTGCCCGACATTTTTCAAACTGAATTTGTTAGGAACGTATCTTGTAACATGTTTTGATCTAAGGTTTAATTATTTCATAGTTACAAAAATGTAAAATTACACGATATTTCTATGTACTTTTAGATCGGTGGTTTGTTCCCTGACAAGTTGCAACATATCAAGTTGAACGTTTATGATCAAAAGAAATGCCAAGCCATATTCTGGCAAGTAAAGTCTTCTCACATCTGCACGTATACGAGAGCAGGCGAAGGCGCGTGTCATGTAAGCTTTTTTATTTACTTACTTAAGTCGGAAAATAATTGGGATCGACATTTCGGATCGGGCAATAATGTAATCGTTTTTATGAAATTTTTTTAGGGTGATTCCGGTAGTCCTCTTATTGCTGGTGATGTTCAAATCGGTGTTGTTTCTTTCGCTTTGCCGTGCGCTCGCGGCGAGCCCGACGTGTTCACTAGAGTGTCCTCATATACGAATTGGCTGAGGAAAAATATTGTTCTGTAATCAAATAAACTGAGATCTTTTGTTTGCATACTATATTGTAATTATTAAACAATATGTAATAAATATGCTATAAAATTTCCAAAGACACATTAATGTGTTTACATTCCATTGTTCTGCAATAAATTCCTTGTAAATCTAATAGTTTAGTAAAAACACGGTAGCGCTCTAGGCCTACTTATTGTTATCATAAAATGCGTGAGATATATAGTAACCGATAAGCCTGACTTTAAGATATTCTCTATGAACTAGATAGTGACGTATTTTCCAATTCTTCTGAAAAAATGTTAATTAATAAAAAACACGTGAGCTTAATTGAAACGCTATCGTTTTTATCAATAAAATGTGCAATATCACGCAGAAGCGTCACTAGCATGTGATTCATTTCTCTTGTTGTAACTATCTCGAGAAACTTATACCTATATATAAAGGTTTGAATGCATCTTCGCTTCACTTGTGTGTCATCGAGAAATCTGCCATCAAAGATGCACGCGTTTGCTTGTCTTGTTCTCATCGCTTTGGCGTGCGCCGTCCAAGGTATTTCAAATTTGTCAATGAATCTTACAACTTATTCTAAACTTATTTGTTCAGATGTAAAATTTCTAAAAATTATTGTACATCATTTAAATTTATATTGTTTACAGTAAAAATGTACGTGTGCGATGTAAAATTTATTTCGCGCTATTTTAAACAATTTTTGTTTTTAATTTAAGGCGCTCCGAATCCTCGTATCGTCGGCGGCAAAGATGCTCCCATCGGCAAATATCCGTATCAGATATCGTTAAGATTTCTCGGCTCGCACACATGCGGTGGATCCATACTAGATACTCGTAACGTATTAACTGCAGCGCATTGCGTAGATGGGTACGTTTTAAATATTTAAATTTATTTTAATATATCAGTTAAAATTTAATTAATAAACATTCTAATTTAGTTACAGTTTAATGTATTTAAATTATTTAATACATGTATTCGACACATTTATGTATTTTAACATCAGTTAAAAATACGTTCTTTAAACATTATTTTCATTAAAAACAAAATCCACTTTCGGTTTTTACAATTTGTTCCTTAGCTTCTTCTTAAATGCTTATAACCTTTTAATGATATTTTAGGAGGAGCAGCTATCCCGAATATTTCTCAGTTCATGCTGGCACGAACTTTTTAAATAAAACGGGAGACGAGTACAAAGTAGAAAATATAAGCATTCATCCGAATTACGATAGTTATCTCATCAGAAATGACGTTGCTGTGCTTCATCTCAAGAAACCTATCAAATACAGCGACAAGGTGAAGGCAATATCACTTTCGAGAAATGACACAGGTCGTGAAAACAGATCCTGCACGTTATCCGGATGGGGAACCACTAGGGTAATGTCAAATTTACAAAATTTTTCAAATTTCACACATCAACTTTCAAGAACAACTCCCTCTTTATATCACCAAAAAACATAAAGAACTTTTTATGATAAATATTGGGTGAATATTCTTGCATCACATTGTTTATATTTTTACTAGCTTGGTGGCAACGTTCCGAACAAGCTACAAGAAATTGATTTGATAGTTTATCCTCAAGACCAATGCAAAGAGACACAGTGGAGAGTACAGGATGGTCATATTTGCACCTTTACCAAAGCGGGACAAGGAGCGTGTCATGTATGTGAATCCTATTGGTGTCGTTGTTAATCACGCACACAAGATGTGTGATTTAATATCTAATGTGTTATTAAAAAAAAAATTGTATTCAGGGCGATTCTGGCGGACCATTGGTGGCCAACGGCACTCAAATTGGAATCGTTTCCTTCGGTACACCTTGTGCGCGTGGATATCCGGACGTGTACACGAGAGTGTCCAAGTACGAAAATTGGATCAACGCGCATCTTATAAAATAAAGGACTATTTATTCTTATATCAAATCAATCCTATATAAAGGACTATTTATTCCTATATCAAAGTCACTTCAATATGTATTTACGAAACAATGTTCAATAAATATCGTGTAAATATCGCGATAGAGTAATTGGTCTTTTTTTTCTTTCAACTTTTTCCAATATCTTTCATTCCCAACAAATGTCACTGATATTTACAATAGCTGATAGTATGTGATCGATATATTATCGCACAAAAATAAAATATCGCCCGTCCACAGACTGCAAGTAAGTGCTTGTTTATGTATATTTCGATAAGAAACAGAAACTTGAAAATAAAAGAATTCGCAAAATGTCAAAAAAAAAAGAAAAAAAACAGTAGCAAAAAAAGACGAAATGAAAGTGTCAAACGGATTAATCGCCACTGAGTAAATAAAAAAACTAAACAGATTTTTTGCACTTTAAGCACAGTTTGGATTTCAACAAGCTTTAGGGAATAGATGCATAAAATCTTTTGTAACGTTGTTATCGGGGATCTCGAGAATCGGGAATTTATCTCACTTTCGTAATCTTACTCATTAGTAGAAACGCACACATATACTTGTATATACAATCACACACACGTCGTTCACTTAAGTATATATAAAGAACCGAATATCTGTCGTTAGTAGAGTTTATCTTTCACCATGAACGGATACTTCGTTCTCTTAATCGCTTGTCTGGCAACTGTCGGTCATGGTAAGGGAAAAGTGAAAAACCGCAGTATTGAGTATTTGTTACAAGTATCTGTGTGTGAAATTTTATTAGATACACTGTATAAGTTTTTTTTATTTGTTTCGAATAGGCCTGCCAACTCAGATTGTTGGCGGTACTGACGCCGAAATCGGCAAGTATCCGTACATGGTGTCTTTGAGAAATAACAATAAACATTTTTGTGGTGGATCCATCATCAATGTGCGTTACATTCTCACTGCAGCTCATTGTCTCACGGGGTGCGTATTTATCGGTTTTCTCTCAATAAGATGACCTTATAATTCTTGTTCAAATTATAAAATTCAAATTATACCGTGACTTTTGCTGCACGTGTACTTGGCCGAGCAACTATTGCAATTAATTATTTTACGTATATGACGTAGATTTAAAACAAACGCTGACGTCGCTGATATGACGGTTCACGCTGGCACGAATTTCTTGAATCAATCCGGTGATGTTTATAACGCTGAAGCAGTCATTATCCACGAGAAATTTAATATTGTGCTGATTCGCAACGACATAGGTTTGGTCCGCTTGAAGACAGATATAAAATACAATGAAATAGTGAAACCAATCGATCTCGCAAGCACTAACTCCGTCGAGGATGGACATCCCTGCCTCTTGACCGGATGGGGTACACTTGAGGTAAGAGTCTCGACGTGTAAGGCAGACGTTGTTTGAAAAAGTAAGAAATTATTACGATAAGAAATTACGTGATATTAAATGTATGTAGTATTTACAGGCAAGATTTAACATCGTTTTTAGCAAAAAAGAGCAACGCACATGTTTGCAATTTTATATCGAGCATATTACTTTTTCAAGTTTTACTTTCTGCACTTTTTTCATTTTTATTTCCAGTTTATGGGCAAAGTGCCTAATGAGCTTCAGAAACTCGACTTGAAAGTTTACTCGCAAACAAAATGCAAGCGAACGTTTGTGAATCTGAAAAACAGTCACATTTGCGCATTTTCGCAATACGGCGAAGGAGCATGTCACGTAAGTGCGACAATAGTTTGGAGATGCGCTTTGTTACTTTAGTGTCTGACACAAATGTTTTCTACAGGGTGATTCCGGCAGTCCACTCGTTGCGGATGGTGTTCAAATTGGTATCGCCTCGTTCGTTCGACCATGTGCTATCGGATATCCGGACGCGTACACGAGAGTGTACTCTTACAAAAATTGGGTCTCACAAAATGTTGTTCTTTAAACGATAAAGTTATTAATATTCTGTTTCGATCTCAACACACATCTAATATCCTTTTTGTGATATTGTTCTCGCACTTATGTAGACATATCATGCAATGACGAAATAATACTCAGTTAAATAAAACATATGCGTGGTAAAATTAAAAAAAAATAATATCTCACAATTTTATCTTTATTAAATTTATATCGCAGCTGCAATCAAAGATAATCTACTGTCTTATATTAATAGATAAATAAAAATGTGTCTAACTGCATATTGTTGTTGTAAATGAAAACTCTATTTAAAAAATGCGCTTTGGTACGTTTTACTTACACATCTGATAAGCATAATCCGTATATACAAAATTACACATATATCTGTCTTGTAATTGGATTGAATTGATAATTTTTTTATACTTATATTATAAAAAAATAACTTTAACAAATTACGCCATGTTATATTGTTTTATATGAGTACATGCTATCTTGAAAAATACTTTTGGAATAGAATATATATCACAAACTTCAGATAACAAAAAATAAAATCCATACAACGCGTATTTCAATACACTTGCGTATCTAATCCAATCTGCAGATATAAAATTTTTATATCTTATTTTACATTGTAAAAAATACTTAATATAAAATCAAAGATAACGCGTTAGACGTGCTGTATTTTCTGTCGCTATGAGCGCTATCACTAGTCTCATAATTGCGTGCTTGGCGTTCAGCCTTTACGGTAAGTGTATTTAAAGATCATTTTTTCTACGTGTCACAAAATAATGTTTTAATACAACAGAGACGCGTTACACGAAATTCGATTACGTGACGTAATAATATCGCTTAAACTCTTATGCGTAAAATATTGTAAAACTTTT